CGCTTATGCCGTTCGCTTTGGCGTTATAAGCGCTTATGAAACGCATGACGTTATTATAACGTCATAACTTATGCTTACAAATGCCTATTCTATCGAAGTAAGGCAGCGAAAGCGTGAGCGCTTAAAATTTTTTTTGACAAAAGCGAACGTGAGTACGACGGTACTTATTCTTATGACGAAAATATGTATTGCCTACGTAATAATATAATCAAATGTAACGCAATAATCACGCAATATAATTAAACGTTGATCGTTTCATTCTAAAGAAAACAATTGATTATTTTATTATTTATATTATTATTTTACTATTTTTTATTTATCATTTATTTTTTACATTATAATAATAATTGTTTATCATTATAATAGAATATTTTCTACACTAATCTTGCAATCGAAGTATCGATTTTTTAATAGAATGTTTACCCAGAAACATTACAATTTTCATGTATATCTTTCATAAGGATCATCTTTCGTAAGGATTATCATCTTTATCGGCAAATGATTCCAATAAATGCAATGCTTGCGCAAATAATATAGGAATTAATTCCTCTTTATTTGTTATTTTAACGCGTTTACAATTGCTTATAAGCATTAAAATGAACGATTGTTTTAACGTCATGTGAGCATTTTTAAGCGTGAGAAATGAAAACGAACAATTGAAAATAGCGCTTATAAACGTGAGCTCTTACAGCGCGTGAGCGATAAAAATGAACGCACTCATTATGTAAATTTATTTAAATAGATTCTTACATGTGCCACATTCATAATGTATATTAGTGCATATTTAATAGAAGAGAAAGGAAATATACTATATTAAGACTATTCTTTATTAAGACATTCAAATTAAGAAATAGCAATATATATGACACTCTTTATATTTAAATATATAAAGTATATAAAAGTTTCATTTTTAATCATCTAATAAGTTTTATTCTTAATTATCTTACTGCAACACTAATTGTTAAAATTATCTAACATTACTTATATTGTAAGATATAAGCCTTTCTATTTTTATTTTAAATTTTTAAATTAAACCTCTTATATGAGCTACTACTACTCTGTCTCATATTTTATTATATAATCATATTGAAATTAAAGTATTAAAATATTAAAGAGCATTAAAGAGTGCGCAAATATTTCTGCGTGTGTCATAGAATGAAAGTTAGAATGAAAGAACAAGAACTAAAAAAATTTGTTACATAGAAAAAATATTTGGTCATTTCTTTAAAAGAAAATTGTAATTACTCTCGTGATGAAGATTTAATAATGTTAACAAATAAACAAATTTGTTTAAAAGAATGATGATTTTATAATACGAGATACACAAAAATAGATATTATACATATACTATATAAATAGAATGTATCAAGTTTAATGACCTTAATCAGAATCAGAACCGGAACTTGCATCCGACTCATACTCCCCGACATTAATGATGAATTTATATTCTTGATCACAACCCAGATAAGCATCGCTCATAAAGTACAAAGTGTAGGAATGCTGGCCAGGTGCTGGCGCAACAAAGTCCAGCTTGATCTTCGCTTTCTGTTGCAGTGTCAGTCGCTTGATGGAGAGTAGTGAATTGCTTTTCGGATCACCAATCACGACCCACCAGCCTTCCTCGCGTTTTTGCGGGAAGAACGGTGCGACCACCGGGCCGGTTACTTCGTCTTCTCGTTCCAATTGTACGATTACGTTCACCGTGCCACCGCTGTGCAATTTGTCCTTTTCCTGCACCTCGTATGACATCTCGATATTGGGATATCGGTTGCAGAACTTAGCCACGTCTGCCATCTGCGCGTCTGTTAATTGCAATAGTCGATTTCGATCATCGTCCTCAAGTTCCATCACATCAAATACAGTCTCCACGCCCTTGTCGGTGCAACGCTTAATTGTTTCTGTCGTGAAGTGCGGCAACTGCTTCAAGTAAGAATCCTTGGACCACATTGCCTGCGTCACCATCTGCGCAAGCTCCATAGCGGCGACGGCAGGCGCGAGCCATCCGGAAGAGCTTAGCACATCTACACAAGCTTGTATTAATCTCACAGCCTTACCCAACACCAACTCGGTGTCTTTCTGCAATTCTGGCCCCAGCTGTATCCTCGATAAGTGAGCTTGCAAGAGAAGTTGCGCCTTTACATGAGGATCAGCCATTCTAGTTGCTTGTGGTGCATGAGGTAAACGCGCAGCTAAACTTCTCAATAAATTTTCTTCCCTTTGTCGCACTGGAACACTCTCATACTCGGCGGCTGCTGAAATAATTTCTAACAAACCTCTAATCTTTGTCTTGTTGTTCAGAGACAGGCTGAACAATTCAATAGTAGCATAATTAATATAATAATAAGCGGCGATCATTCCCAGATTGAGTGGTAAAGTATCCATCTCATCTTCTACTGCTACGCACTTGGCTTGTTCCAGGTCAGTCAACGTGCTTTCGACTAGTTCAGATAAGTGATCTGAGAGATGCCGATGCGTGACGCCTTGCAGGCCGTAATAATTAGGATTTTGTGTGAGCCGTCGATACAGGAATGTCCATGTGAGATAATCGACTGCGTCTTGTTTGTTTTCGATCGTCTTTGTTACGATCTCTGCGTTAAAATGATCGTGTAGCCTACGATCCAGATGACTCTCCACTGGTAGTGGTTCGTTTAGGAACTTTTTAAAGAAATCCTTTTTTGAGCTTTGACACAGGAGCACGCATTTGGCGTCCTTATCCTCCAGTGGACGATTAGCTCGCGCTACCATTTGTAAAACATCTGTGATCGGATAATCCTCGTAGGCATGCGTCTTGCCATTGTAACACTGCGTGTCCATGACTACGACGAGATGAGAGCTGATAGACAAACCCCAACAAAGATCCCTCGTGGCAACCGCCACTTGGATAGCACCACTGTCGAATAATTGCTCGACTAAACGACGATCGTCGGTTGATAAACCCTCATGAAGATAAGCTACGCCTTGAGACAGAGTCTCCTTCAAGGTTTTGTCAGTCATTCGGTCAAGGAACGGTTTAATGTCGGCCTCTTCTGCATGGAAAAATCTCGAGGGTTGACCTTCAGCCGCCGTGAATGTCAACAAGTCGATGGCTGTTAATCTCGCCTGTCGACGAGTAGGTACAAACACGATCACCGGTTTGTGCGCAGCATGTCGGAGAATTGCGTTATATACCGGTTTCGCCATGGCAGCTAATCTTGATGCATTATGGGTAACGTTTATACCCTGCACGTGCAATTCTAGAGGTACTGGTCGTACAGAAGGATGGAAATTGAAAGTTGCTGCTGCTGGTGCACCCAACCATTGCGCGGCGTCTTTGGCATCGGCCAACGAAGCCGATAGTGCTATTATCCTAGTGGGTTTGTCGAGCTGTGAGGAGATGTAACGTGCTCGCGAACATGCAACTTCCAGAACAGGTCCCTCCTCGCCACCGATTAATTGCAGTTCGTCCACAATAAACAATTGAATGTTCTGTACATTTTTGCGCTGCTTCCACCTACGCGATAGAACGTCCCATTTATCCGCTGTGGTGATAATGATTTGTCCTTTGGCCAGTAGTTTTAGATCCGTTCCAGTTTCACCGCTCAGTAGGACAACTTTTCTTCCCAGCTGTTGACCAAATTTTACTGCCCAGTCGGCATACACCAATTCGGCTAAAGCTTCCTTGCTTACCATATACACGGATCGACCATCCGGATTCTGCGTCAATAATCTTAGTACCGCAAATTCCGCGATAGTCGTCTTTCCCGAACCCGTGGGCGCTCCAACGAATACATTATCGTCGGAATTGTAAACTGCGTTGAACACTTGCGTCTGGATTGGATTAAATTGCCGAAAATCGGAATAGATGTTCTCGAATTTAGTATTTCGAAGCGCCGTGATTGGCAACGCTTGTAGATCTAGCAGTTCCGTAGGAGGTAAATTCTTCTCAGGTAATATCAGATGCCGGAAGCTCACTGGCAATTGTGTCTCTGCGCCAATCCATCGGTCGGACACTACGCGCAAAAAATATTGCGGCGGCAAAGGCTCGAAGACCGGTACGAAGAATTTGATTACATGTTCATCAGCCGCGTACTTGGCCTTCAGTAGGAAGTACTCGTGGTGCAGTATTACTTCTGAATCTACATCCTCGACTAAGATCCAAAATGCTTCCGACATACCGTGGACCTTTTCGTCCCATTGGAAATCTGGAGTGATAGTCAGAACGACTCGTAGAGTAGAACGCGTGATCGGCTGAATATGCGTAGATAAGCCTAGTTTCGGAAACTGGTGGACATATTTATGGATTGTTTTGCCTAACTTGGGCACACGGATCAATTCACCGATCTCATTGGGACCGAGATCATACAGCCTCTCCCAAGGAAAGTTCTTCTTTTCGATTTTCTTGACGATCTCTTCCGGCATTTTGCGGAACTGTCTGAGCGGTGACATCGATTGCCACATCCTGCGATCGATCATCTTGCAGAGAGACAGACACTTATCCGCCAATTGCGCCCAACCGCGGAACAGAACTATCTCGAAGATGGCTCTCATGAGACGCGAAGCGGACTGTGTCACGAACACCATATCGGACATGAGAGCGAATCCTTCGAGTTTCAATTGCGAAATGTACGCCTGCAATAACACGTTCACTTTTGCGCTTGGCTCCTCGATGCTTTCTTTCACCGGTATCGGTACTCTTTCCATTAGTTTTTGCAATTCCAATTTTTCTTCTTCCCTGACAGTTATATTTTTAAACTCGCCTGATTGCGAAAACGCTCGGAACAATTCTATCTCACTCATCGTACGCTTCAACAGCTTATTATACGTAGCCATCGTTTCATGTGTGCAATAATAGTGAGACGCTATTCTGCCCAATTCGCTTGCCTGAAAATTGCCAGATTTGCGATCGTACTTGATTAAGCTACTGTGCTCTAATTCAACTGCAGCCGAATGAATTAGATCAGCTCTGTGCAATTCCAACAAAGGATCCTGCTTTAATTTGTCGTGACTTATCCCATACAGATTCGGGCAGCGAAGCATTCTGATGTAAAGGTAAGTATAGCCAAGCCAGGTAACTGCATCTCTGATATTCTGGATCGTGCCCAATACTACCTCTGCATTCAACATGTCGGACATTTTGCTGATTAATTGGGATTCGATGGGTAGTTGTTGATTTAGAAGTGATAGATAGTATTGCAATTCACTGTGATTTGTGATAAGTATACCTTCGCCTTTCGTATCGTATTGCGGTCGACCGGCTCGTCCCAGCATTTGCAACACATCTAAAGCACCTAGTTCCACCCACCTGCCCTTTTCCGGGTTGTATATCTGGGTACCCTTGATAATAACTGTGTGAGCCGGCAAGTTGACACCCAGGCTAAAGTTGCTGTAGACACGAGAACTTGTATATGTCTATCGGCAAAGAGATCCTCCACCAGTGTACGGTCTACTCGAGTCATACCAGCGTGATGAATTGCAAAGCCATATGGTAGTAGATCCTTAAGTTCCTGGTTCTTTACTTGCTCGGCTTCTGTTCTCAAAACCTCCATCGATGCGGAACCTTCTCTAAGGAATTGACCCAGAGTGTCCTTTTCCAAGCACATATCTCGAATAGCACGTGCTGTTTTTCCGGTTTCTTTACGCGAATGCACGAATATGAGTACTTGGTTCCTGCCGGCGTGTTCCATGGTTTTCTCGTAGACAATCTCGTTCATCACCTGAAAGCGTTTTAGTGCTTTTTTCTCGGTGACACCGATATACTGTTGTTCCAAAGCTACAGGTCGAAAACTGTTGTCAAAATAGAATAATCCTGTTTCTGGTTTAATACGCAAAAATGCTGCAACATCTTGATAATTAGGTAGTGTAGCTGATAAACCGACAAGTCGTACATCTTCTTGGGTAGTTTCAATATTTCGTATCGTTCTTGCTACTAATGCCTCTAAAACAGGACCTCTCTCATCATGCAACAAATGGATCTCATCAATTATAATTAATCGTACTAATGATGTAAAGGTTTTCTCGCCACCTTTTCTTGTTATAATATCCCACTTTTCTGGGGTACACACTATTACTTGAGTAGCAGCAATCTGCTCTCGTGTCAACTGATGATCGCCCGTCAATTCGGATACGGTCAAATTGTACGTTGATAATCGTTTGCGGAAATTACCCACCATTTCTTGCACCAGTGAACGCATCGGAGCGACGTAAATTACTTTGAATTCGTCCGCATTAATGGTACCATCAGCATTTATATGTTTCCCAATTTCACGCATCATGCACAACAAAGCTACGTTGGTTTTGCCAGCTCCCGTTGGAGCGCACAACAATAAATTTTCATCGCTTTCCAACGCTGTTTGATATAAGCGACTTTGTATTCGATTCAGTGTTTTGAAACCTTCGAAAGCAGGTTGCACATACTTGGGCAATTGTTCGATTGGATGCAGTTTCTCATTTTCCGCAAACGGTTTTGGTTTTAGAGCGGGAACATGAACCTCTTCATATCTATAAATATTTTCAAATAAAACATTAACATGAAGAATAAAGATACTAAAAAAATTTCAAGAAAAAATATTTGAAAATATATATGACACTCACCCTTTTCGCTGTTTTCGGAAACTTCCATCTGGTAATTGACAACGTTTGTTTGCCATAAAATGGCTTCCCTGAGCAAATATCAAATCTTTCAACTCTATCGAATTTCTTGTACCTTGAACCTGCCCTCCAGGTCCACCCGTATCTTCATTTTCTTCCCGCCTTTTACGCTGCGATCTCGCTTCCATTGTCTCGTCGGCATTATCCTCGCCTTTACCTGTATCCAATTGCCGCAAGATTTTGGCAAGCACCGGATCATCGTTCATCTTGTTACGAATTTTTTGTCTTTCTGATTCAGATTGCGATGAGGCCAGCATCGTACAGTACGCAACTAAAAATTTTCAAATAATTTATATTTTTTTTTAAAACAAAATTTTAATTGATATAACATATAAATATTGTTACATGTGAAATTTTTACCTGTATGCCTGTATTTTTTGAGTTGTTTAATGAAATCAAAGCAATCATAGCCTAATAGAAGTACAAGCTGATTTTCACATTCACGATCGTCTGCAGCATCTTTTAAGATAGCTAATACCTCGGCAGCCTTATCTTGTGAATCCATGGCATCGGCATACATCGTCGTCTTTTTCAAACTTCTTTGCAACCAATATGCATCTATATCTAAAGGATGTAATGGCTTTTCTTTTTTCATTTCTTCTGTTCCACCTAACTAAATAGATACAATTAGTTATACATAATAGTTCATACAAATATTCAAAGTAAATTGTTGTTAATAGTTATCAAGAAAATACTCACGTTTTCTGCATGAATAGCTCTATCATCATTAGCTTCTTCTCCTTCATCTCCTTCATCATCATTTTCTCTAACTTCTCCATAGATATCCTCATCATCCTCCTCACTACTCTCTTCAAATTGTACATTGATTCCATATGTTTCATCAATATTTTCATCATTTGTTGTATTTTTCTCATCACTGCCAAAATCTGTAATCTTTTTACCAAGATTTACAAGCAATGCAAACCTTTCTTCTGCTAATGAACCAAGTAAAAGCTCCGTTTCCTTTTTCTTCTCTTTTTCTTTAAGTCGATCATTTTTTAAAACAGCTAATACTTCATCAGCTGCACCACAAAGAATATCACGTGGTTGATCACCTAGAGCTTCTTGTATAAAACTGAGCAATACGTCATAAGTTTGACGTGTCTCTTGTGTTTTTGGACGATAAAAAATACCAACCATTTCATCTACTCCTTCAGATAATAATGTTGCTCCTTTCATACGAGCAAAGTCATACTGTGCTTCATCACGTTTTTGTCGCCTATAAAATATCAAAGATGTTAACTTCTTTACATTACATGTTAGCATTTTACAAATCATTATTACATTATAATAAAATTGTTCATAAAATTGTGAGAAGCTATTTTAAAACTATTATTATTAAACAAAATAGTAGACCACATTAATAATTTATGATAAACTTACTTTACTTTCCTCTCCTCTGCTTTTCCAGGTCTAGTACGCTGGGCTCTATCACCCATACGTGTGCCATCCAATTTGCCCACGAGAGACACAACCTCACCAGTTGCTTCATCTCGGCTGCGTCTTTCTATTAACCGGACGTCAGCTTGTAAAACGAGATTAGAATTCTGTAAATATTATAATACATTATAATGTAACATCGTCACACGCGGTAGTATCATAAACGCAGGATTGAAAACGTGCAACATTAAAAATTGCATATGTTATAAACAAAATTGACATATTAACACGTTAAAAGTAATTATTATGTCATTTTTAAATGTCAACGAAAAAATGAAAAATACAAACCGCTTTATATTCGTACTGCAACTGACGCGCAGCAGCATCCGCCATGATTGTTTTTGATAAATTCGAAGCAGCGATCCAGCGATGCTCACAGAACATATACTAAGAGAAATGAGAATTCTGTATATAAGATAAGCAACAAAAGATGAGACACTGGTAGTGGAGTGCCATCTGGTAGTGGAGTGCAAACTAAAGTAAAGTGTAGGGTGACGGGATGACGGGTTTTGGTCTCATATATATATATATATATATATATATATATTCTATATATATTATACT